AATAATAATGATGTTGTAGTAGTTGGCCAACTGGAAAGTCTTCTAGACATGCCAAATTCTGACTGAAAAGCTGTGCTATCTCTTCTTAAACTGCCAACTTCCTTCTCCTTTATTTAAACAGAAGCTCTAACTGGGGGGAAAAAAAGGACTCCCCAGCTTTTGTTTTCTTGCAGATAAACTCCGTCAACACTCTAAGGACGTATTTGATTTATATGTGACTTATGTATGTAAACCATTCCTTACTATGTCTGAAAATTAATATAACTGGCTCTTTGGCTCCCACTTATGTATTTTCTGTGTGCAAATGGGTGGGAAATAAGTGTGCCTATGGCTCTCCTGTGAGACGGCAGTGAAGGCAAAAGGAGGATTTGTGAGAATCGGTTTTCTTCCCACGACTGTAAAGCTGTAAAAAGTTACAAAGCCCTGCTAGTCTTACCAGTCACCACTTCCCTCATTGTATCTTTTCAGTGGACCTGTGGTTTGGCACTTCATGGAGAAGACATTTTGGCCAAATTCTCAAACAGTGCAAGTTGTCATTTAGCTCCGTTAGCACTGTACCAGTGTGCGCCCACTGAGGGTCTGGTCTTTGAGTGCAGACACAAAGGACCCTTCAGTGCAGAGTAACCCCCTTTTGCACCTTCTGAAGACCTGATCCATCCAGTGTTCTGAGTGCGTTATGCTTGGGATATGCAAGGCTTGCTGTCTGTCCTGAACAGACAAGAGTAAAAAAAACAAGAAAGCCTTTTTCTCACCAAGTAAACTCTTTTGTTTGTCTGTTAATTCTTTTTTTTGTCTTCGTTTTGGCCTAGCTATGGCTAGGCTGAGCTCCATGTTCTTCAATACAGGAGTGCAGCTGGCATTAAAGACATCAACTTGGCCCTCTGTTTGTTCTTTCAATGTTGTTACCAGCTCAGAGTTTGTTATGGCATTTTCTTTCACATGGAAATCTTTCTATTTCAGGACAGGGGCAGTGAAACTGAGAGACAAACTGAATAACAGAGGGAAAAAAGGCAGGCACACTGAGTTAGAGTGTCCTGCTATACTGTCCCTGGAGCTTGCATGGAAATGATGTGGCCTGCGCTTGCTCCTTGGGCAGCCTGGCAACAGGTCACCCCTGCCTCCTGTCTCTCCCTCCAGGCCTTTAAGCACCCAGAACTGCTGGACCAATGCCTGCAACGTGCACTGGAAAGCACCACTGCTCCTGGAGGCCACGGCCGGCCAACTGGCAGCGCTGCAACATCACCCCCTGTGAAAACAGTACGTTGCTGGGGCAGGGGGTGCTGGGGTGCGGGGTGAGGAGAGGAGGCACAGCAGTCTGTCAGAAGTGCAGCTCTGGACCTTGCAGCTGGGCATCCCGGGGAGCCTTCAACCTGAACATGCGCCAAGTGTGGTGTCCAAAACTCAGTGCCCCAGGAAGAATGGTTCCTCTTGGGATTTGTTGGTAATTACATTAGCTGGGATGGTGTCCCCTCGCTAATAGTGTGTGAAACAGCTGATGCGGTCTTTACTTTCCATTAATGGTATAGATAGGAAGAAAAATGTGAATCACAGACTGCTGGCTACGATTATAATACACTAAGTCTAAATTGAATGAGTGGGTTGATGATAGGAATTCCTGAAGTGGAGGCTGCTTGCTTTCAGGTTAAAAGCAAATAATTTGGCCAG